TTTTTTTTTTTTTTACAGGTACAATGCAAAAAAATAATATTTTAATTTTAAATTACGCATCAATCTTGTTTGCATAATATTTTTGCTGTATCATGATACTGCCTAAAATAAAGTTTATCAAGTATATTTTAAATGTATTTTTATTACCTTTTAACTGAGCTGAATAAAAGCAAAAAAATAATTTTTTATCGTTATGTGATTTCCAGCAACGTCTTTAAAAACTTTTTTTTGCATTACTAAAATAAGCACTTGTTTTGGTGCTTTTATTTTCAATTTTTAAGTAAACCAGTGAAAATTTGACTTGATATAAAAATTTCAGGTTATTTTGGCAATGAATGAACTCCCATCACTGTCCGGTTTATGCCTCCGAAAAATTGGTATAAAAAAGTGAGATACTGATGTTTTTGATCTTCTTATAAAGAAGACAAACCAAAATGGAGATTTTCAATTGGAAAAATTCAACCAAATGACAGCAGAGAATTTAATGGCATATTTGTATAATGATTGCAGTATAGCGAAAATTTTAATCCTACCTCCATTACTAAAATTGCTAAAATGTTATGAAAATGGAAAAAATCAAACAATATAATCGTAATTTTCTCATATTCTTTTTGTTCTTAAGCATCACGGAACCGCAAAGTTAGGATAACATGTGCTGTATTTTCCTTATACTGCAATCATTTTTACTGTTTTGAATGTACAATAGAACTTGTGAAGAAAAAACTTAGTATTTTTTTTCACAAAACGTTTTTTCAACAAGCTCTGATACCGATACACTTCAATGATTTACAGTTTTTCTGTGAAGAGTATCACTGTGCAGACATCTGTATTGCAGTACGTTTCTGTACCTCTAAAATTTTACAGAATACAATAATTATTAGATAGTTTTTTTCTCGTAGATGTAAAGTTTACAGAAGATTACAAACTAAAGTTGTATATGATATGGATTGAACAACTCTCTGTCTCAAAAGAAGAAACGTTTAGCTAGCAGTGAAAATAAATACTACTTGTGTTATTCCGTCACTTTTAAAAGCTTTCAATGGCAAACGCAAATTTTGCGACAGGAGAATAAGGAAGTTGTTGGCATTTTTAAGCAACATTAGTTTACTCAGTAAAGAAATACTTGCTGTTACAGTGACAAACTTTAAATTTTTTACTTATTTTTTTATAACAAAGACATAAAAAGATAAATGCAAATTTTTGAATAATTATTACAAGTTTAGTATTCAAAAGTAGTTCTAAAAATCAAGTCATTATTATTAACTGTCCTTCTCCTTTCTCAGACATATGCATCTATTTCAAGCATCTAAATAAAGAAGTTTACCATAGAACTGAAATCACAAGGTTATTTTCACTTTCTTTTCACTGTGATACTACTACTAACAGAGCACGATAATTGCACTCGTTGTTTAAGACCATATGCTGCACTGTAGATTGCAGTTGTGGTGTTCTTCAGCATACATTTAAAAAATAAGCAAAAAATTGACTGTGAAATCTATTATCAAAAAATGGATGATGCTGTTTTTGCAGTATCACAAGAAGAAATTCATTTAATTCTAAACACAATCGCACAAGAAAGAAAAAGCAATTAACTCATTACTTATTTCGTCCAACTTTCAACGTTACTCTCAAAGCACTGATTCTTTCATAAGTTAAAGTTAAACTCAACGGGAAGCCAGTATTTGTTTAAAAAAAACGTTTCTTGCTTTCTGCCAGTTCTAATGTTGGAATAATTCCGGTGTTCATCATTGCAGATGTCAAAAAAAGGTAACATTTTGATTGTGTGACAACAATTAGGTAAGCCCCATCGCTTCATAAGGCTTCATTTGTGACTTTGCTAGAATTACACTGTTAATCTCCTTCAGAAAGAACTTTTTAATTCCACAAATATTGGCTTGGTTCCGGTTGCACCTATGTGGTAAATAAACAATAAATTTTGCTATGGCTTCTCAAGATTGTTCTATCTTAATTGTAATTATTTTTAGCTAAATTCATCTATTCTGATTTTTAGTAGAAGTTGAAACAAAATTGCTTCTATTGTTTTTAAACTATGTTTTAATCGAAACCGGTTACACTTTCAAGCCATATTGGAGTAAACTACGTCACTCCGTGATCACCTCTGCATCATTTGCACTTGACGTGGTTCGTTCAGCACGACAAGCATATTTCTTCTCTTCAGACTTGACTAAACAGTCGCCAATACGAATAAAAAGTTAGGTTCTTTCCCATTAAGTTTCCCCTCACCAGTTGTTGAAGATCATCTAGGCCACTAATACGGTCAAGTATTAAAGCACATTACTGTGAGCTATATTTTATTTAGTAAAGATGAGTAAGCCGCCACCGCTGAAATTAATGGCAATTTCTGTTCTCATCTCTTTCGGAGGCGCTTTCCACTATGGATTTTAATCGCTAGTGACAAATCCAGCTCAAGAAGCACTAGTGGGATTTGTTAATGCTTCTAATTGTGATCACTAGAAATGGGCTATGTCCCAGACTCTAGTTGAGGTAGTATTTGTTGTTTTTCAAACACAATTTTTTTTATGTTCACAATCGTACATTTTATTTTTCGAGTAACTACAACGTTGAACATGATGTTTTTTAAGTTGCTGTGGTTAATCGTAGTTGCATTGATGGCTTTTGGAAGGATCTGCGGATTATTTTCGATTAACATCGTCGGCAGTAAAGTTGGCCGGAAAACATATTTATATGTCTAGATTTCCTTAAACATTTTAGGAAGCGCAATTGCTTTCATCTCTTACTATGTCCAGTTTTTCAGTAGTCTTTTATCATTTTCTTTGGTGACTAGATCCTCAAAATGAAGTTAATTTTGGAAACCAACTACGAAGTTTTGAAAATTTATTTGCAAAGCGCCTTTTTAGGCAAATACATACGAATGCTATAATGTTTCAAGGGTTATTATTGGTTTTGCCATTGTTTTAAATCTTAGTCTTAGTAGTCTACTTTTAAACGAAAGCAGGTATTCTTTGCGCATATTTTGACATTTCAACTTTCTCATGTTTTTCGTTCTTTATGTAACACTTCTTTTGAATTCAGTCTAAAAGAGTGCCGCGGATTCATAAGTACGATGACATGCCAGGCTGCCACTGTAGGTGCTGTGGCAGCTGCAGTAGTTGCTATGCCATCAATTCTTGGCACTGGAAAATTGTGGTGTTACCTTTACTTAATCGACTTATTAAGTCTCCTACCTGTACTTCTTCTGTTATCATGTATGCCAGAGAGTCCCGGGAAAGTTTTACAGTTTCTGATTTCTTTGATAGCAGTTGGCTCTGATGTAGAGCAGTGGCTGCTGGTAGTCATTCTTGGAAATCTCAGCCATGCGTAACCGGCTTGCTAGTACGGATTGTTTCTACGAAAAGCTAACCTTTGGCAAGTTAGCTACAGGGCTCAGGAGACGGCCTTCCAAACTTGTGCTTTAAGTATAATACTACATCACAGCAAGTACATTTGTATAACTCAGAATCTGCACAACTCGTTTGGTAATCTAAGGTTTTATGGTCAAAACTTCGTTTTGACTTGTGTCAGATCTAAGCAAAAGTCAGAAAAGAAAATATTTTTACATGGTTTCGCTCGAAAAATGTTCTTGAATTGTTTCCATTGCTCAGCAAAACTACTTCCACTTTAAAAGCTTCTTGATTTTATAGTTACCTGGCTTGCCACGGGAAAGATGATGAAGCGCAAAAATCAATTCGATTTTATCACGACTGCGACAGCTGGTCAGTAGACAGAGTTATGAATAAGATTAAAAGAGAATCTGAAATTACAAGCGAATTCACTGCTAGCCATGGATATTATGAGGGATAGACACTCTCACAACGGTGTTATTATCGGCTGTGTCATATCAGCAACAATGTCATTTAGTGGAAGCAGCAGTAATCGCCTGCCACACTGACTCATTTTTTATCTTACTTTTTGCAGCATTTGAAAAATCATAAAAATTTGACTAATTAGAGCTGACTAAATTCAAAATACAACTTGACAAATTGTACGCGGTTTTTTTTCCAAAGGTTTTGTTTCTCTTCAGCTGTAAATGTGTTTGCCGTGTCAGTTTTGGTATCATATGGCTTGACTATTCAGGAAGCATCTTATGGTAACATTGGACTAATGGCGGTTTTGATAGTTGGTACTTTGGTAGTTTGAAATTTACCATAGCGTAAATTACGTCTTCGGAACCTTATGCAGAAACGAATTTGCAGATATTTTTGATAGATATATTCAACAGTAGCTTCGTTTGCTGTAGATCGCTTCGGAAAAAGGCCACTTATTCTAATTTCTTGCTTAAGACTCACAATTTTTAACATTTTCATTTCCATCATGATGTATTGTCACGAAAAGTACGGGGTTAGTGAACATTTACACTTTTTTACAATTAAAGACAGCTGATTAAAATGTTTTCAAATAGAATTCTCAGCTTTGCGGACGCCGGCTGACAAAATGTTGCCGATTAATTCATTTGATAGTAAATTTTTTTGTGATTACTCGTCCTTCAAGTCGACCGGACAAATTAATTTGTTCGGCTGATTCTCTTTTTAGCATCTTTGGGTGAGACACCCTGATAGCACTAATTGCTGTTACGAAATTTTTCTCCGCTATTGGGATAGGGTCCCTGTGCTTTTTGTTGCTTCCTAAATGGTTGGACAGGCAGCCAGAAGCTTTTCACAGGGCTGCGCTATGGCGTCAAATAATTTCGTAAGTTAGTTTTGGTGCTGTAGAGTTGAATTTTGAGTAGATAAGAAAAATTTTCTGCTCTTATATGAGTTAATGCCTAGTGTCAGTAGCTTGTTGTAGGAGAACGGTATGTTTTGGTGTATTTTTGAGATTTAAAGAAGCTGTTGGTCAGTCATTTGCATTCCTAATACTATTCATTGCCCGTACTGTATTATCCATGTCGTATTTGCATTTTAATATGCCAGAAACTAAGAACAGAAACCATAAAGAAGTAAATATTTTTTTCTGGAAACAAAAGTTTTTGTTTTTTTCAAATTTATGTTGAAGACACTGTCAGAGAAAAGTGACTTAAGGGAGTTCTGTGTAACCTTTTTATCGGTTTCATTGACGCATTTTTTTTATTTACGGTGGCATACCTTTCGTTCTCCTAAGTTGGAGAAATCATTGCAGGTCATTGAAGCGACGGAAAAATTGCCATCAGTTGCAGAATGTTGTACGTCCAGAAAACGGCTCTCCAGTACAGTGTAAACAATTCCAGTGTTGCGCTGTGATACGTTTACTTATGAAGAAAGGTTTTGAGTAGCTTATGCTTTATATCATTTAGTTAATTTTCTTTTCAAAAGTTGAAAGGCATAATTAGGTGCTTTGTATAAAAGGTATAAAAAGTTGTGCTAACAGTAGATATTGTACAATATGCAGGTACCGGTGACCATTGTTTTACATAATGGAATAATGGAAGAGTAATGTTAATTATGTGTAAATAAGATTTAAAGAACCTCTTTGGTAACCTCTTTGGTATATGAATAAATGTGTGCAAAATTTGCTGAAACTCTGTAAGCAAAAAGGGGAGGGATAGTGCAGAATTCATTTTTTTGTTTTGTCGTTATACAATGGATTTGAGGACCAGTAATTTACTCTCAATTGTTTGGTTCTAATTATCTAAAGATTGGAAATTAATGTTCTTACAACCTGCATCAGTTTAATTTATGACTAACTATTCGGGTTTTCGCCAACTAAACTTACATTGATTAGCTGAAGTGCCAGTTAAAATTTAACTTTTTGAGCAGCAATTGTAAGACCTTTTTCATGGCAGATGTAACTAAACTAATCATGAAAACTGATCTTTCTGCAGGAAGAATAATTTGAAATTGCAAAAGAACTTATTTTTTTATGTTTTAAATGAACGCTATTTTTGTTGCAAAAACTGTTTCTGTTGGAAGGAAAAAAGTGCTAAAGATCAACTTTGCTTCATTGCTTTGTTTCAAAAACAGTTATTGAAAGTCCGTATTATTTTGGGCAAATTTTCATTTGCAAATGCAATTTGTGTCAGTGCTGTTTTATTTGGATTTATCATTTATCTCAGAGTCATTTAATCCAATACTGATACAGTTTTAATAAAATAAAATGGTCAGCATTTTCAGTTTATTTAAATTGAACTTAATTTTTAATCGGATTGCTCTTCAAGTTTTCGTGGAATAAATTTCATACGTCAGCAATCGCTGCTTCACATGTTTTCCATTTAACTTGATTTTGTTGTATTTGTAAAGTACCTCGAGAGGGCGATTTAAGATTTTTTTCATCAATATACTGTTAATCTCTTTCTCTCTGAATGTAGTAAAAAATATTAGCCATTGTCGGTGCAAACAAGGGAAGTGTACTCTCTTTCAGTTAGTTTTTTTCAACGTCACCAGCTAGCGGTGTCTATTAAAGTTCTCACAAAAGTCGTTTTTTACGAGCGATATAATTATCACTACCACTTTTCCACGAAATTCTTTCAGCAAAGATGGGTAAACTACCACCGCTAAAGCTGCTAGCAATTTCCGTCTTGATCTGTTTTGGAACATCTTTTCACTTCGGTTATCAATCGCTAATAACAAATCCATCCCAAAAAGTGCTGGTAGCATTCGTCAACCAATCTCATTTTGACCATTATGGATGGCTAATGTCCCATCTTTCTCTTCAGGTAATACTCTTCACCTTTGCTGAAAAACGTTCTTTTTAATTGTCATACACTATACCTTGTGAAAATTAGTCATAAAATTAATAATTTTAAGTCACTGTGGTCAGTAATAATTGCACTAATGGCCGTTGGCGGGATCTGTGGTTCGTTTTCTATTAACGTTATCGCTGCTAAAATTGGCCGAAAAAGAGGTTTGTATGTCTCGATGGGTTTGGACTCTTTAGGAAGTGCTCTCGCAGCTATTTCTTACTATGTGTGATTTTCTTTTAGCAATTTTCTCTTGAATTTATCAGTGTTTAAGTGAAGGTAAACAAAATTAGCGTAAAATCTGGAGGTATAAAGTAAAACTAGTATAATAAACATTCTAAAAAATCATTTTTAGGCAAAGGCTATCTACGGCTTTCTTTAATCTGTTTCCCTTTATTCCCATCAAAAACTTAATTCTCTAAACAAAGGTAAGCATAAGGATCCTAGACGGACCAAAAAAAAATTTTAAGGAATATTTTTAGGCGAACGCGTACGAGTGCTATATTATTTCAAGAGTCGTTGTTGGTTGCGCCGTTACTTTAAATCTTGGCCTTAGTGCACTACTCTTAAATGAGTGCAGGTGTTCTTTGTATAGTATAAAGTTTTAAGTTTTTGATAGATTTTTATGTTTTTTATGACGTTTGCGTCAAATTTAGTCCTAAGGAATGTCGTGGATTTATAAGTATGATGACATGCCAAGCTGCCACTTCTGGCGCTGTAGCTGGTTCAATTGTGGCTATGCCTACTATTCTTGGCACCGAAGAACTGTGGGGTTATCTATATATCGTTGACATACTAATGAATATTCCTGTAGTCCTCATTTTACTCTGTCTTCCAGAAAGTCCTGGGTAGGTTCTTAAAGTTGCAATATCGGTAGTCTTTTTTACACCCTTTTTTGCCTTTTTAGGTATTTGACATTTCATGGAAAAGATAACGAAGCTAAGAAATCGATTGGGTTTTATCACGACTGCGATAGTTTGACTGTGGATAAAGTGATAACTGAAATCAAGGAAAATCTAAAATTGCAGGCAAAATCGATGTCACTACGTGATGTGCTGAGAGATAAGCATGCTCGTAACGGTGTGATGGTTGGCTGCGTTGTATCAGCCGCAATGTCGTTTAGCGGAAGCTCGAGTAATCAAATAACAGTTTGATTCAAGACTTTACCCTTGTTTTTTAGCCTATGTCTCACAAATCGTTCTTCAATTTTAACTGACTTTAGTATTAAAACCGATTTAATAAAGAAGATTTTAACAAAATATTATCTCGTTCCCAAAAAATATTCTCTTTTTTTTAAGCTGTAAATGCATTTGCCGTATCTATTTTGGTAAGCTGCGGTCTATCGCTTCAGGCGGCATCTTTTGGCAACATTGGACTGATGGCAGTTTTAGTAGTTAGTATTTATATGACTTGATTTGGTACCAATATAACTTGATTTTTGTTAGAGTAACATATAGTTATTTATGAATTCCATTCATAACGAAACTAAAGTTGTGTTTTCTAGATATTCTCAATAGCAGCCTCGTTTGCAGTTGATCGCTGCGGGAGAAGGCCATTAGTTCTAATTTCCTGCTTAGGACTAACACTTTTCAACATACTAGTTTTCGTCATGATGTATTGTCATGAAAAATATGGCGTAAGTTTAATTAAAAATTTATGTCTGTTTTTGCTGGCGAATTTTGTGTTTTAAAATTATTGCGGCAAAACATTGGCATTAATTAGGTTTAATCTTACTCAACTGGTAGTTTCAATACTGTTTGCAGTACGCTTGGGTGGGATACACTTTGATAGGTCTAATCGCCATGACAAAGCTATTTTTTGCAATTGGCTTGGGGCCTCAAAGTTTTTTTATTGCTTCTGAAATGGTCGGACAGGCAGCTCGAAGTGTTTCTCAGGGCTGCGCGATGGCTTCTCAAATGATTGCGTAAGTTAATCTTTGTATTTTTTTACTCCTTTTTGCTAGTCTAAGAGTTATGTTATTGTCAACCAAGAAGGAGAAAATTTCATTTTCAACCAAATTTTTTTGACAGAACTGTTTTGGTATTCTAGGAGAACTATTTGTATTGCTGTGTTTTTGGGATTAAAAGAAGCTGTTGGTCAATCATTTGCATTTCTTATTTTATTCGTCGCTCCAATGATATTCTCCATGTTGTATTTATACTTTCGTATGCCGGAAACTAAGAACAGAAATCATAAAGAGGTAAATTATTTTGAAGGCGAATAAGACGAAGAAGTCAAAATGGCAACGTAACGATTGTGTAAATTGGAAACTGCTGATTAAACAGCAAAAATTATTGATTTTGAGACAAGTAAAGATTATTCTTTTCAGTTTACTTCCTTGTATTTTGCTGTTACAATTACAAAAATTTTTACAGGTTATTGAAGCAATGGAGAAGCTGCCATCAATTGCAAACTGTTTTAAGAGCAGAAAACGGCATTCTAAAAACGTTTACAGTGTGTACGCAACTCCGGTTTTAGCTTACGGCACGCTTACTCATAACGAAAAATTCTGAGAAGCCTAAATCTGCAGTATTAGCCGCTTTCCCTTTTGAAAGCTGAAAGAAAAAAAGCAATGTAAAAAAGGAAGCTAACAAATTATACTAGTAGAACTTTTTGTGCATGTCCTAACCGGCCACCATTGCTCTGAAGTAAGTACATTGCTTACTGCACATACAAGCACTGTGATGCATGAAAAGCATTTAGGCTAAACATCAGGGACGCTTGTTGATATCTTCTGAAGAATCTGTTGTATTTTTTTCATTTTAAATGAATAAAGTGTATGTTCCAAGAACTTCAAATGGTTCCTTGTAAGTAATATAATAAGCATTTACACTAAACTTCAGGCTTTTATTACCGGTAAGTGTGAAGCATAGACACTATAGCTTTTCAAGCGCTGATAACAGAATGACCAATAAATTTCTTTGCTTCTGACTTCTACGGTAACAAACTTTTATGGTAGTTTACCAGCAGTTTGGAATTTTAATTTTTTGCTTAATGATAACAAGAAGGCATTTACTATTGGCGTAAAAACTTTGATAAGTAGCTAGGATTCAAGATTAGTGGCAGTCTAATTGGTTTATTATTTAAACACCATTTTGCTCGAAGTTCGATAACAATTCTGAGTGGAGAGATTCAGTGTAAATTTCGAAAGAAAAGTGCTTTTACGCCGAACGCTGCGACAACAGACTTAACCACTGTTTCTATCATATGAGTAAGACTTGAAGACAGCAGTTATAAATGTTACAGAATTCCTCTACTTTAAAAACAACTTTCTCGTCGAAAATTTTAATAAGAACAAAAGCCTCTGGCTTAAAAAACGAAACTGGTTTTAAATACTCGCTTCTCTGATGTTATTTGTTATCAAAAAAAACTGAATTTTACAAAAAATGTTCAGATTAGATGAAGTAAAGCATTTAAATTATTTGGCCATTATTATGTAAAAGTCATACGTTTGAAATGTAATAAAATATATTAACAAATGTTCGCACTGGTTATAAAACCCAAACTCATATTTCTGACATATTTGTTAGGTACAGGTCTAAATGAGCACTAAATGACTATGTAATCGATCGTTATATTTCTGTATCACCAAAAGTGATCGCAAATAAAGTCAGTAATCCGAAGTTTCTGTAATATTTTCATGTTTAATTTATGCATAAGTTGCAGTTTTTTTTCAACACAGCACTGATACTGATGCTGCAGAAAAACTACAGTGGCTGTACAGTTTAACATGCTAAAACAGCTTGAAACAAGGCAAAACAAAGATAAACTATAAGATAAAAGACAGTAGTAAAGTAGCAAAAAACGTGGAATGTCGACCTTGCTGGAAGATTTTTAAAAAATTTATATTAGCCAACTATTCCTGAAATCAAGCCGATTCAGTAGCACTGAAAAAGTTAACTTATCAAATATTCTGCTTAAATATGAGCAGTTTTTGTCTCTCTGCTGTATTTCGCTAAAACTGGACAGCTTAAATAGTGAAGCAATTTTTATAGAAGAAAAGCTAACAGCGACGTATTAATATCGACAAAATTACCATTTTTTTTTGGCTTTGCTATTAGTCAAAACCTTAAAGTTTAGTGGTATATCAAAAGCTGATATTGAAAAAAATAATGGAAAAATTTCTAGACAATGCTGTTTCAAACATTGTGCTATCATTTTCTCTAGTACAAACAGCGAAATTTCTTGTTGGAGTACGTACGTGTCTTCACTATTAAGACTTTAATTTGATGTTATGCCGTTTGTAACCGAAAAATCTGACTGTAATTTCTTCAAAATAATTCTCTTGCAAAGTGCTTTCTTTCCTATAACGTCAAAAATGGATGGCAATGAAACAGTATAATAATCGGTAGCAGTTTTAATAGAATGAACACCAAGAAAGAATAAAGATTCTTCCTTCTCGATCAAAAGAAGCTGTTTTTTAGTTACAAATGTCCTTATTCAATTTGTATACTAGGGCACTTTATTCACTGATTCTCACCGTTCTGCTTGTTAGTACAAAAATGTTTTAAAGATCTGAATAACTTTACGAAAGCTGTCGTTTTATAGAAGTGAGAAACTGTTTGACTTCCCAGTTCCATTACTTTAAAAGTAGCTTTATTTAGCTATGATACTCTTACTAAGAGAAATAACGCGTGTGTTATTAAATCGATATTGAGTGCTTCGGAAAACGGATTACACTTTACAACTTTACAGAATAAAGTGTCTCTGCTGCTGAACATCACTCCACAATATGTGAATTCAGCATCTCTCACTGAGCAGTTGAAAAGTGCCTGTTTTGATTCTATTTTTTACTGTTTCTAGAGATGCTTGAAAAGGCTTTAATCATTTTATTTTAGCAGAATCTTATTATTACGTTTCCTTTAGGTTCCCTAGGTCCTTTATGAATTCATCTGTTTTTCCTAATACTTATCAGATTCTTCAGTAGATTTTGTGAAACTATAATCGTATCAATGAAAAATTATTACTTTTTCAGAGGAGATTTTTGAAAAGTTGGAGTTGCGTTAGTAACACTTTGAAATTGCTTTCAAAACTCAGATCTAATAAAATCTATTTGAGCTTTAAGAGTATAATCGAAACTAATTGTGTACGCTTATTTGGAATTTTTCAATGCAGGGTCAATTTTTGCCATGAAAGTAACAATAAAAGCTGAAGTAAAATCCTATATTATTTCGATGGCATAGTGTAGATATTTAAGATGGGTGAGTTGCCATCAATAAAATTAATAGCGGCTGCTATTCTTATCTGCCTCGGAGGAGCTTTTCATTACGGTTTTCACGCTCTGGTAACAAACCCATCTCAAAAAGTTCTAGTCGCTTTTGTTAACGAGTCCCACACAAATCGCTATGGATGGCAGATGTCGCAACTTTCTCTTCAAGTAACATCTTACAGATTCTCTAATAACGTTTGTCTGCTGTTCACTAACAGATATGCATTCAAAATATTTTGTTATTTTTGCATTAACTTATTTTAAGTCACTTTGGTCAGTCACAGCCGCATTGATGCTCTTTGGAGGTATTTTTGGTTCGTTGTCGATCAACTTTTTTGGTAACAAAGTCGGCCGAAAAGCTGGTCTGTACGTGTCATTGGGTTTGACTTTCTTGGGAAGCGCTTTTGCAGTGATTGCGTATTATGTGCGGCTTTATTTTGATTAGTTCTTATTATATATTCAAAAGCTATACAGTGACAATAAGGATTATATTAGGAGGAAGAGTTTAAGCGATAATTAAAGACAGTATAGAACGACTTGTACAAAACTTTTCAGACGAACATATACGAGTGCTTCATTGTATCAAGGGCTGTTATCGGTTTTGCTGCAAGTTTAAGCCTTGGCTTTAGTGCTCTACTTTTAAATGAGAGCAGGCATTTTTAATACCATTCTTCTCATTTTTAGACTTTCAACAGTTTTTATAATTAAAATCATACTGGTCTTATGCTTACGTTGAATTTAGTCCTAAAGAATGCCGTGGATTTATAAGCATGGCAACGTCTGAAGTTGCAACGATTGGTGCTGTTATTGCTTCAGTCCTAGGTATGCCTACAGTTCTTGGCACCAAGGAACTGTGGAGCTACCTTTATGTAGTAGACATACTTCTGCTTATTCCTGTAGTTCTTATTCTGATATGTCTACCAGAAAGTCCTGGGTAAATAATACAGTTTTACTAGTACAAGTAAATTTGTCTTTCATTATTCGGATGTCTCTTTTTCTCAGATATTTGGAGATGCTTGGAAAAGAAAATGAAGCTAGAAAATCAATTCGATTTTACCATAGTTGCGACGCTTTGACAGTAGACAAAGTGATAAATGAGATTAAGTTGAACCTGAAATTGCAAGCAAAGTCAATGCCAATTATGGACATTCTGAAAGATGAAAAAACCCGTACCGGTATTATAACTGGATGTGTCATATCAGCAGCAACGTCTTTCAGTGGGAATCCAAGTAATTGATCTGTTGTTCAATTTCAAAATTCATTCTGTTTTTTAATTTATAGCAACTTGTAACTACTATCTGTTTTCACAATTTTTAATTACTAAAAAGATCATTTTTAAAGATAAAAAAGAAATCATTTGCTTTAAAAGCATTAATGTTCAGCTATCGACTCGTTCGCTGTATCTATTATGGTAAGTTGCGGCTTTGGCGAACAAGATGGAGCTTATGGAAGTCTTGGACTTATTGTACTTACGCTAGTTTGTTTTTCTGTTACATGATTGGCAACTTGCTAAAGTATCAGTTCAAAGTTTTTAACAAATTTATTTATAGCAGAATTTGCAGTTATATTTTACAGATATTGTTAGTAATACTTTCATTCGTGATAGATCATTTTGGAAGAAGACCCCTAATTTTGATCTCCTGCGTAGGAGCGATAGTTTGCAACATACTTATATTTATTATAATGTATTGCCATGAAATATATAAGGTTAAGTCTATCTATTTTCAGTGCTCACCTCCTGTCACCTCGCATCTCCTCTTACATATATTATAGTAAAATATTTAAGCTTGTACATTACATAATTTTAATTACGTATTAGACGGTAAAGTTGACACTATTTTTAGTATAATTGGTTGGGATACATTTTGCTGGTTATGTTAGCACTGACAAAATTGTTTATTGCAAGTGGCGTGGGTGCTTTATGCTATTTTGTTGCTTCTGAAGTAGTCGGACAGACAGCCCGAAGCTTTTCTCAAGCTTGTTCAATGGTCTCACTAATGACTTCGTTAGTTTGCTGCGACATTTAGTTTTCGCTGCAACTTGCCGTACATTATATAAAGCAAGGAAATTTTTATTTTATTCGGGTTTCTGTACACTGTCTTCCTGAACGTTTTAGGGGGACAATATGCGTTGCTGCTTTTTTGGCACTGAAAGAAGTCGTTGGTCAATCATTTGCATATTTGATTCTGTTCGTCGCTCCAATGGTATTCTTCACGTTATACCTGTATTTTAATATGCCAGAAACAAAAAATAGGAACTATAAAGAAGTGAATTTTTTTAGGTTTATAGACAAATATATTTGTG